CTTCCTCTAAAGTAGTTCTTTAGGACTTCAAGTAGTATCAATCTGTAGAAGATGGGCACAGTGACACACATCTGCAGTCCCAGCTACCTGCCTGGGAGGCTGGGAGAAATGTAAAGCTCATGGGTCCATTTTGAGTATTTAGCCTTAATTGGGAAGTAAGAGTCAATTGTAGCTATTTTAACTGTAGCCCTTCTCTTTGCCACCCCTATTTTGAAATTAGCTAAGCACGTAGACTGCGACCTGGAGCAGCTGCTGTTGGACAAAAGCAGGCCGACTGCCTGCCCGAGTGTGCTTGCTAGCCAGGTTCAAGAGCATGCCCTTCTAGCAGGAGTGAAGTTTGCCTTGTAGACCCACTTCTGAGCACTTGTTTGATTTCTTGCTACACCTGAGTATTTCTAACAGGCTGGGGCAGGGGCATCACTTCTGTCAAGAGTTTGAGACCATAAATGAGCCCACCACCAAAACTACCATGACCTGGCTCTGCTAAGGCTCTATAAAACCCAGACCCTCATGGTGGCCTGCCACTGTTTTCCCCTGAAGATGTGTCCCTCAGAGGCCTGACTGCTCAATTCCACTGCTTGATAAAAGGTGTTGCTGATGCTAGGTGTGGTGGCCCAGGCCTGTAATCCCAGCGGCTTGGGAGGCTGAGACAGGAGAATTGCAAGTTCAAAGCCAGCCTCAGCAACTGTGAGGTGCTAAGCAACTTGGTGAGACCCTTATAAAATACAAAATAGGGCTGGGGATGTGGCTCAGTGCCACAGGGTACTCAGAGTACCCTGAGTTAGTACCACTAAGTTTAATCCCACCACTAAATTTAATCCCCAGTACCAAAAAATAAAGGCGTTGCTGATCTGTCAAGGTCTGTCCGTTTTGTTCATTTTTTCAGTGACCACACTTCTTTTTTTTTCTTCCTTTTTTTGGCTTTCTCTAAAATGTGATCTTTTTTCAGAAATAAACTTTTCCCTGTTATCATTACTATGACAAAGTGCCCACTGCACCTACACAGGGAATCCATGAAGCCAACCACCTGCTGCTCTATGGACCTAATCACATCTATGGAGTGGTGTTGCTCATAGCTGTACAAGGTCTGTGTAAAACTGGACCTGCCCTTCAGGGATTCCTATTGCTGCAAATCTACCAACATGTAAAAGTTTAAGAGCCCAAGATTTAATAAACATCACACTAATAGATGAGTGGATCTGTGAAATCTGTAGCTCATACCTAGGACAGTCAAAGAGTTAGAAGTGCTGGGACCAGGGATGAACAGACCAGGGAAAGCTTAAAGAAATGTGACTTCAGGTATTGTTGAAATTATTCAAGACATGAGTTAGTAAAACCAACCAGAGGGTATCTTAGTTACATAAAATTACCAAAATCACAAAGGACAGAGATCTTGAGTCCTCCCTTTATATCCACGACAGAGGGGATTTTTATGGTCAAGAATGAATCAAACTTGCTGGGTGTAGTGGTGCACAACTATAGTCTCAGGTATAAAGGAGGCCGAGGCAGAAGGACAAATTCAAGGCCAGCCAGGGCAATTTAGTGAGACCGTTTCAGAATTTAAAAAAATAAATAAATAAATAAAAAGGGGCAGGGAACTAGCCCAGTAGTAGGATGCTCCTGAAAGAGGGGGGAAAAAAAGCAAAAACAAAAACAAAGAGTCCTTTAGATCACAGCATGATTGTCAGGGACACAGAAGAAATGTGACATGGTTATAGCCTGGGAAGGAGTGCCTAAGGAGTCCCACCATTTAAGGAGTAAGAAGAGTTATCAGAAGGCAGAGCAGAATGTTAAAGCACAATACTATTACAGAACCCAGAAGAAGGTCCCAAGACAGTGGTTGGGATCCATGCTGCCTAAGTGACAGTAATGTGAAACAGGGGACACTGGATTTGCAGGTAGGCTGTGACCTACACTACAGCAGTTTCTTTGAAATGGTGGTGTGGGGTTTTGGATGTAGAAGGAAATTAATAAGTGAACATAAACCCATCTAGCATCCCGCCTAAGTAACCACTATTTCCTTTAAGTCCATGTTAGAATTTATCTGGGAGATGGAAAAGGTCATGGAAAGCTGTTTCTAGCAGAGCTATTTTAAGAAAGGAGACATCTGATCTAGTCATTAAGACATTTAGTATCTGAAGAGGCTTCCTACAGTTTTCTTTCATATTTAACCAGATCAAAGACCCTAGAGGAGGTATTAAGGCCAATGAGAAAAACCAAAGTGATTATCAGAATTAAAACACAGTGATGACTACCCCTCTTATCGTGTCTCTGTGGGTGACAATAATTCATCCCATGAAAAATTCTATAATCCTCTTGCTTGAAATACATACTATTACAACAATAAAAGTTAACATAACCCAGGAGCTAAGGTTGTATAGCTCAGCGGTAGAGTGCTCACCTGACACGTGCGAGGGAACTACAACTAAAAAATAAATATTAAGAAAAAAAAGTTAACATAACCTGTATGTTAAAATTCTGAGATCCTAACTTCTTCTGAGAAGGGATTTTTGCCAATGCTTTTAAAACCTCTATGGGGTAGGGGGCCGGGGCTGTGGCTTAATGGCAGAGCGCTTGCCTAGCATGTGTGAGGCACTGGGTTCAATTCTTAGCACCATTAAAAAAAAAAAAAAAATTCTAAAGCTTCTATGGGTTGGGGATGTGGCTTAGTGGTAGAATGCTTGTGTGAGGCCCTGGGTTCTACCCCCAGCACTGTGCGGGTGGGGAGGAAATCCTATAAATCTGTTGATGACCTTAAGTTTTCTACTTAATCCTTCCAGCTTAAATTTGTTGCTGTTCTGATCTTGCAACCTCTACAAAGACTACAGCTTAAATCAGTTAAGATAAAAATAGTGGCAAGAATGTTCTTTCTTGTTTCTTGCCTCTTTAATTTACTAAGACTGAATTGCAAATTTAGAATTCTAAAGAAAAATTACATGCATGATCTGGGTATAACTGAGTATGGAAAAAACATAACTATGTTCATGTCCATCACCAAAATGCTATTTACGATTAAATGTGGACTTTTTCTTGTGGTGCTACAGATTGAACCCAAGCCTAGCATATGCTAGGTTAAGCACTCTAGCCATGAGCTGCACACCTCCCTTCGCCCCCGTTCTGTTCTTATCATTTATTTTGAGACAGGGTCTCACGAAATTGCTGAGATTGGGCTGGAAATTGTGATTCCTGCCTTGGCAGATTAAAGGTGAGCACCACCGTGCCTGACAAAGAATATGAACACTTGGACTGGAGGTGCAGCTTGGAGGTAGAGCATGACCTGCCCCTACCTCCCCCAAACGGGGTAGGACTTATGAGTCAGATGGAACCATGTCAATGCCAAGTTAGTGTTCCTAGCAATTTCTTGCTAAGGGTACTCTTTCATGAGATGACAAGCTATTTCAGACCTCATTTCTCTAATTATTATAGCAACATTTGTGTCATTTTTGTTTAAATAGCTGTAATTGCTAATGACAAGGGAAATATAACAGTCCACCAGTGAAAAGGCATCTCTTAACTGTGGAGGCCAAGAGTTAGCATCTATTTCTTGATCACTAGACCACAATTTATGAAGGCAAGTGACACTTCACTCTTCAAGAATCCTCAGAATACTAAAGCAAGTGTTTTAAGAGTCAGTTTAAATTAATCAGCTACTCAATATGGAACTTTCTAGGTAACAGTGGAAAACATAATTCACTTAATTGTTTCTTCACAAGTCGGTGACCTTCAGTTGTTAAGAGCCAAACTTTGTAGGGATGGGATTGTGGCTCAGTGCTTGCTTAGCATGTGTGGGGCGCTGGGTTCAATCCTCAGTACAACATAAAATTAAAAGGTATTGTGTCCAACTACAACTAAAACATAATACAAAAAAAAAAGAGCCAACTTTGTGACTTGAAAGTAGCTTTATACGTTAAGAGAAATAAACTTCTCTTACAGTTAATTATGCTTTCAATGTTTGTTATTTACCGAGGAATAAGCAAAAGAGAAGTTAAACTAGAAGCAGACAGTGTTTTGTTAAGATAGATACCAAGTTAAAGCAAATGATATCTTCTATGCTCTTCATTTTAAATAAAGAAGGGCAGGTAGAATTGAGATTTTTATTTCAATTTCCTTGAAAATTTGCTATCACATGTAACATGCCCTGCAGTTTGAAGCAGTCTGCTAGGCTCTCACCATCTCCTTGTTCAGAACAGAGCTTCCTCAGAGGATGCTGGGGATGCAATCCAAGGCCTCATGAATGCTGGGCAAGTACTCCATACTAAGCCATGTGCCTAGCCCCTGCCCAATACTGCTTTAGCAAGGTACTCTCTCTATCTGATGGTCCTCAGATATTTATTTAGGAACCACCACTTACAACAACTTAAGCTGGTATTCCAAAGGGAGTAGTTATTAAAATAAATAAATAAATAAATAAATAAATAAATAAATAAATAAAGGAAAAAGAAAAAAGAAACATACAACTAATACAATTTATCTTACTCTTCTTTTCTTTTTATTATTCAAAAGTCAAATATGTTATTTTTAAATCATCCATCCTCAATTTTGATTTAATGTACCGTCATTTCCCCAAGATATGAAATTTCAGAATCTCTTTGGAATACTAATTTCATGTCTCTAGGTTTAACAAAACTGTTTTAAGTTTTAAATTCCACTCTATTTCCCTGAAATCTCAAGACAGTTGCTGATGTAAATTTTAATATAAAATATTTAGTCACAAAATAGTATTGCTTTTGTATGCACATAGTTGTAAGATTACTTTGCTTTTGTCAATAAAAACTATACCATCTTTCATAAAACTCTAAACAAATTAAGAACTGTGATGTAGAACAAAAAGTACACATGGTAAAACAGGTACCAGCACAACGTTAGGTTATATTACATCAAAAGAAGGTTTAATGGTCCCAAATATATATATTCAACAACTAAGCATACACTCAGAGGAGGAAAAAAAGGTCAAAAATAAAATGAAATTAAAAAAAAATTATGACACAAATGACCACATCTAGAATTCCACTCAATCTTTAATCAAGTAGGGACAAATCCCCACTTTAGGGGGGGAAAAAAATCTGCAGTTTGAAGGGCAAAGGGAACAGATAAAAAAGAGGAAACTTTATATTTGCCCCTCCCCCACAGAGGTTTTCCAAACCTGTTGTAGCTTGACTAAAATGTTCAGAATGTATGATTTTAAAGGCAGGTCTCTTTATACAAAGAAACTGCTGGCATTCTTACTAGTGAAGAACGATGGCAGAAAGGCCCATTCTTCTGAGTTTCAAACATGGTCCAAGAAAGCATGTTCTGATTGTAGCAACTGACCAGTCAATCCAGAGTTCCACTTACAAAACCCCCGCCCTGTTGGCTTTTTGTTTCCATTTCCTTCCCTGAGAAAAGGGCAATGTGTGGTCCAAGCTGGAGAGCGCAAAGGCTTAAGTCTTTCCCCTAAAAGTGTGGTTACCCCTCCTCCTGCTCCATTGAATTGGCACTTGATGAGCAGAAGTCAAGTGTGCGAGGCTGAGCGTGTCAGTCATTCACAAGAGACCACTGCGCTGTGTTGCGGGCTTTGTAGGGGGGAGGGGTAGAGACCCAGTTTGTCAACAGGTACTGATCACAGGCAGTTGCCATTATTATGACTCAAATTTTGCTTTCTTTGACAATGGTAGGGTATCTTCCTTGTCTTCATCCTCTTCATCCTCTTCATCATCATCAGGATAATCTACCAGACCCACGAGGCCTCCCTGTTCAGAAACAAGGATTATTTGAAGAACAGAAAACACTAATTTAAAAATACCTGTTTTAAGTTTGAAGAAAGTACAGATCCTACCTCAACATATTAACTATAGCTATTTCTGGTTGGTGTGATTGAAATTCATTATTTTTACGTATTTCCTAAATTTCCCATAATAAACATGAGCTTTTTTCTTTATAAGAGAAAATTTTTAGGTTACCTAAATTAAAGCAAAAGAGTTAAGTAGTTTATTATCCTAGCAAATCACCCAGGGAGAAAAAACATCACTGAATTAAAAATGTCTTTTTGCTGGGCACAGTGGCGCATGCCTGTAATCCCAGCAGCTTGGGAGGCTGAAGCAGGAGGATCACAAATTCAAAGCCAGCCTCAGTAAGTGCTTAGACATGAGGCCCTGTCTCTAAATACAATACAAAATAGGGCTGCGGATGCAGTTCAGTGCCCCTGAGTTCAACCTCTGGTACAAAAAAAAAAAAAAAAAGGCGGTGGAGGTCTCAAGACCTAATGTATCTCCCCTTCACCAGAAACCACCTGTAGCTCACTTTATTTACATGGCCATGGAGAGTGTACACTACTCTGCCCATAGCCATGCCCTTTACTTCAGCATGCCTTGGATTCACTTCTGTCCTTAGGGGTCTCCTACTCATTTGCAAGAAAAGAGACTGGGGAATGGGCACTGATTTAGATCAAAGATTCTGAATTGGCAGTCTGTTAATGCCTAGTCTAATAATGAACATATTCTACACCTTGAAAGAAAAAAAAGTTGTAAAAGTCATCTAGAAGAACTGGTTGGCTGGGTGTGATGGCACATGCCTATAATCTCAGCAGCTTAGAAAGCCAAGGCAAATTCAAGGTCAGCCTCAGCAATTTAGCAAGGCCCTAAGCAACTTGGTAAGACCCTGTCTCAAATAAAAATATTTAGGGGATGTGGTTTTAGCTCAGCAGTGGAGTGCTTGCTTAGCATGTACGAAGCCTTAGGTTCGATCCTCAGCACCGCATAAAAATCAATTAAGGTATTGTGTCCAACTACACCTAAAAAAAAAAAAAATAATAATAATTAAATAACAAAAAAGGCTGGGAATGTGGCTCAGTGGCTATGCACCCCTGGTAGCAAAACAAAACAAAACCAACCAACCAAAACAAAAGAATTGGTTGTATTCTGTGATCATGGCTTTTCTACATTTTTGGTGTTAAAAATTTTGTTCCTTTCTTATATGAAAAAAATTTTAAATGGACCATTATTGTATTATCTTTCCCCACCATCTTTACCTGGGTCTAAATTGGGAAAGTTGAACAAGTAAATGATGATTTAAAATTTGGAAGATTCTGAAAATGTATTGACAAACAAATCTGAACCTAGAGTTCTAACACGAAAAATACCAAAATAAGAATACATTCAGACTTTTGCATTAGTTCTAAGAAAATGTTCAAAAATACTAATAGATTAAAAAAAAAAAATTCAGCCAGGCACCAGGTGTATGCCTGTAATTCCAGTGGCTTGGGAGGCTGATAGCAGGATCACAAGTTCAAAGCCAGCCTCAGCAATGGCGAGGTGCTTAGCAACTCAGTGAGACCCTGTCTCTAAATAAAGTACAAAATAGGGCTGGGGATATGGGTCAGTTCCCGAGTTCAACCCCCAGTACCCCCCCTTCCCAAAAAAGTTCAGCTGCCAGGCATGGTGACATACATCAATAATCCCAGCCAGTTAGGAGGCTGAGAACTGCCAATAAAGATCAGCTTTGGCAATTTAATAAGACCACGCCTCCACAAAAAGATAAAAAGCAGTTGGAGGGTTAGGGTTAGCTGGGATACAGCTCAGGGGGGAAGCACCCCTGGGTTTGATCCCTAGTACTGTGTGCACACATAAAAATCCCAGGTGGTGGTAAGTCACAAGTGATAAATGGTTCTGGAAGAGGCAACCAAAGGGAGTCTCAAGAAGAATTGTGGATAAAAGCTTAAATCAAGGAAGGAAAAGGCAAAATGGAAGTCCAGGAGTTCCAAAGGGTACCTTTGTGGTAATAGCTGCCGTCTGAGATGTATTCTTAGGGACAGATCCAGGAGAGCCTGGAGATCCTGGGGATCCGGGGGACCCTGGAGAACCAGGCAGATTTGTGGCAGATGACTGGCTGGTGAGGTTAGTCTTTGTTCCGCTGGACAAGGAAAGCTTGAAACTTGGGCTCTGCCGTCCAGAAAGATTCGTTTTCAGAAGCACCTCCTTTTCCTCACTTTCTTTTACTAAAAATGAGAATATGGTCAGGGTTGTCAGTCACACTAGTTCTGTTTTTATTTCCCCACAATAGGTGACACTAACACATAATTAACCAGCTTGTCTTTTGCTGAGAAGCAACTTTCAAGTACTAAATATCATTATTCACTGGGTTTTTACAAAGGAGAAGGAATGAAAGCTTTTAGTATCACATTCATTATTCTCACCATTCCTGAAATCATGTCTCTCTCCCTTATTCACCCGATTCAAACTAAGAAAACTTAGTCTATACCTTCACAACAGTGCTAGGAATTCAGCTACACCCTCTAAAGCAACAGTCTTTAAAAACTGCCACCACATATACAATGTAAATACTCATTATTTGGTCAAGAAATAAAGAATAGACCTAGAGTGAGAAAGCCTTTATTTTTCCTTGCCCATTTGTTCAACATACATTTCTTCCTTTCCATGAATTTACTAATTGGATCCATGATATCATCATCATTTTTAGCTTTGTCAGATGGAGACACCACAGCTTCTCCATCTTCTATGTCATCTTCATCTGCGTTGAACCACATCTCCTCCTCATCCTCTAGTGTTCTGGCATCTCGCCGGTATCTATGATTCCTCAAAATGGAGCGCATGCTGTGAGTAAAGAGAAAAAAGTAAATATACTCACAGGGTTTTTTTTTTTTTTAAAGATGGTCTTCAAGTACTTCAAAATTAGATATAGCTATAATAGGTTAATGGAGACAAGCAAACACAGAAGAGTCTGATGCAAATCAGATATTACCAAACATATGATTAAAAACCACCTACCATATCCAATTTTAACAAATGGAATCAAATTTCATACTACCAAATCTGCATGGTTGTAAGCTGGGCACACGCCTTTAATCCCAGTGACCCCGGAAGGAGGAGGATCCTAAATTCAAGGCCAGACTCAGCAACTTAGCAAGACCCAGTCTCAAAATAAAGAGGACTGGAGACGTAGTTCAGTGAAAAAGTATCAATTCTCAGCACTAAAAAAGTTCAATTCTCAGCACTAAATAAATAAAATATAAAAATAAAAAAGCACTGATGTAGATCAATTATTAAACTTATTAACATTAGGAATTGATAAGTAATAATTTATATGTTACAAAATGTCATAAATTCAAATCTAGGAATTAAAAAAAATATTATAATAAGGTGGCCGGGATATGGCTCAGCAGTAAAAGCGCTTGCCTCCCACATGTGAGGCACTGGGTTCAATTTTCAGTATCACAAGAAAGTAAATAAAATAAAGATACTGCATCCATGTATAACTAAAAAATATTTTTTAAAACATAGTAATTAAGAGCCACACCACCAGTCCTTTTTAGTATTTTATTTAGAGACAGCGTGTCTCACTGAGCTTCTTAGTACCTCACTGTTTCTGAGGCTTGCTTTGAACTCATGATCCTTCTGCCTCAGCCTTCCGAGCTGCTGGGATTACAGGCATGCACCAATGTGCCCAACACAAGTGAGATATTCTGGTTTAATTTTGAACAACTGAGGCCTTCCTGCCACATTAGTATATGTTGATGTTTTCGAATCACACTAGCAACTACCTACACCTTCAGTAAAATGAGATCAAATAAACAAGAGCCACTGTGACAACTTATTCATGAATAAAGAGAAAATTCAAATATGTGTTGATTTACCTGTCGAGTTTAGGGTTGTCTTGCCTTTCTCTTTGTTGTTCAAATCTCAGTTTTAATCCTTTAAATGTCTGTACATAATCTACGTCTTCCAGTGCTTTCCAATAATTTTCAATTACATGAGCAGTTAATGATTTTATATCTTCCTACAGGAAAGAATTCAATAAAATATATCATAAAAAGTATCATTTTATCAAGATGAAGCTTTACTGTAGTGATTTCATAAAATTTCCAAAATAGTTCAATTTCATAAATTATCACACAACCCTAGAGGTAATCAGTGAAAATGGGAATAACATATACTGGCTACTTCCATAGTCCCCAGTTCTTGGTTTCCCTCAGAACTATCCACGGGTCTTTCTAAGCAGATGCCAGGTCCTACACTACTTCTGATGCTCTAAGGTGGAGCATATGTACTTTACTACTAATTTTTTGTGTTGGGGATATAACCCAGGGGACCTGGTGCATGCTAGGTGAGCACTCTATCACTGAGCTACACCACCATGGCATGTGTATTTTAAAAACACACCACAAAAAATTTCTAGATGACTGGTGGTGAAGATTGCATGATAACATGAATGTTCTTATTCTTAATGTCAACATATTATTCATGCAGAAATAGAATGGCATATTTTATGTTACAAACATTTTACCACAATTCTAAGAACATGGCACAGATAATACTGCACAATGATGTTGAGCATCACTAGATTAAAAAATCAGGAAGAGTGTGTTATGATATTGTCCTTTAAATACACGTGAAGTCAAGAAAAACATTGAATGTGTATTTGTGGTTTTATTTTCTTAAATGATCTTCATGACACTGCTATCAGTTTTCAACCATCCTATAAAGACTGCTAAGAGATCAGGTTAGATATTTGATTTGAACTGAATCTCTCGTTGGCTTTTGATAATGGTTTTTCTTTTAAAAAATGATTTCCAAGTATAATAATTTCAAACCAAAATATTAATAATGCATAGTCAATTATCTCATACAATTAAAACTAAAATTCTGATTAAGAAAAATACAAAACCTACCACTCTAATAAATTCAAACATTTCTATTATGGCAGAATTCATCAGATTGTAGCGGGATCCATTGTTGAGAAAAGCTTTGACTACAGGTTCAAACAAAAAACTTTTCATTATGTAGCGGTTATAAAACTCATCTTTTAATCCAATAATCTTTCTCTTAAAACGAAGGGCACCTGAAACACAGAAGTATTATTGTTTAAGTCACATACCACACTTCCACATTTTAGACTTACCAAAACAACACAATAAAACCCATTTAACAAATACCAGTAATTCTTCGTGCACACTGATATGTTAGCACTTCCAGAAACGTGAACCTAAAGATAAGGATTTTTTAGAGGTGTTATCAGAAAACATATTCTAAAAGTAGTGTATGTCATCATAGAACACAAGTCTTAGAAAGCCAGAAAAATTCTGGAAATAAACCTGTATACTAATGACCAAAATGTAATGTATGTCTGAAATAATAGCTAAGACAAATGATTTAATCTACCGTAACAGTTAAAAAAATTCTCAAGATAGCCTTTTATATAAAATTTTAAGACAACAGAAAAACAATTGTTTTATTAGGGCAATCCACTGTATGATAATTTGATCTTCAATAACTTTGGACACTCTTTTTTATTATTTTGCATCAAGTTCATGGATTTACATTGGTTTAGTTGTGGATGTGGTTGCAGAATGGCTATAAACCCACAAAAATCTGCATGACCCAGAATTTGCCTTCCATAGTTTAGAAATAAATTTAGAGGATGTAGTTTAAAATGTGGTCCTCTAGGCTTATTGCGAGTATGCTTTTTAACTTTTTTTTTCCTAGTTTTCCTTTTTTACAATTAATTAGGCTTTAACTTACAGATGAAAAGGTATATTTGCATCTTGAGGTATGGGGAGTTACTTAAGTCGCCATTCGTCAAGATCCAAATATACTCAGACAGCTAGACTTCAACAAAGCCCTCTTTACCTATGTGGAATTATCAGTAAGTTAATGCCCCAGTTATTGTAAACAGTTCAAAAAAGCATACTCACTTCATGCAGTCACATCGTCTTCGGTTGGCAAGATTAAATATTGTGTTTGTATTTTGGTTTCTTTGGAGATCATGGAAGTGGCTCGTTAAATTGCCAATTTGTTATTAATCAAGTCCTTCATGAGCAGGTAGCCAGGCAACCATGCTGACACGGTTTCTGGGTGGGAAGGCAGAGGAGTAAAGCAGCTCAATTTTTCTTTAGTTGGCAGAAAAGAGGTCCACAAGTGAATGCCCAGTTAGGTACAGTTGATTATAAACTGCCTTAACAATTCAACTTAAGAGTGTATCTTTCTAAAGAAACACTCTGGGCAGGGAGTTTCAAATAGTTATATAGAATAACTGCATTGTATTTTTTAAACTACTAAATATTTTTTAAAACATAAGCATGGTGAAAACATTTTTAAACAATAAGAGGCATCTTTCTGGGCGATAAGTCAAACTTAACAAGGGTTTATTTTCCAAAATAGGAATTTCATTTTTTTCTTTTTCTAAATGTTAACCGACAAAGGGAACTTAGTGAGGCAGTTCCACTTTTGATAAAATGAAAATCAATACTTAGAGCCTGCTAATTGGCCAAATTTTAAGCTTTTAGTATTGAAGGCAAGAGCTACTGTTATCCTAAGTATTGGTATTCCAACTTCACAGGCTTTGTGGAGACTTGTGTCCTACCAAAACACACACTCACTGACTCCGCTGGTCTGCATGCAGCTCCTAAGTGGGCTCCTAAGTGGGTGAAAAGAAACTCTTCCCTTCCTGGAATTCACTAGGATCAGGGCATGCGGACACTCCTCAAAATGCACTTCTTCCAAGACACTGTGGATGTGAATAAGGAGGGTCTGATGGTCTTTAGTTTTGGTCCTTATTTCCATTTGTCCTCACTTAATAACTGTCCACTCAAACCAATCCCCCCAAAGGAAACCTATATTAAAAAAATATGCAACCATTATTCTATGTTATTGAACAAAGTTTCTTTTAGAACTTTGCTAGTGAAAAAAAACAGACAGTGTCACATGCCTGTAATCCTAGTGATTCAGGATGCTGAGGCAGGAGTATCTCAAGTTCAAGGTCAACTTGGGCAAGAGATTGTGTCTCAAAATTAAAATTAAAAAGGGGTGGGGATATAGCTTAGTAGTAGAGCACCCCTGGGTTCAATTCCTAGTATGGCCTCTGAAATAAGTAAATGAAAAAAAAAAGAATTTTGAGTGAGTTTTACAAAGTCAAGTCACTAAAAGAAGATAGTTTTTGGAGTAGGCCAAGTCAGCATAACTGGAGATTGATTTATTATCTTTATCTTACACAAGGTGAGATTTCATGTTTGAGACTCCCTACCTCATACGTAACTACAACAAAAAGCTTTTAAAAATTTCATTCCTTGTACAGGTTTTCATATTTTAAACAGAAAGAAACAACAAAAAGGCCAGACAACATAAAGTATGAGCTCAGGACTACAATGTAAGATCAAAGAGTCTTGAAAAACCCAAGGAAATAGACCAATAGAGCTAGTATCTAGCCTGAGTTTAGAAAGAACTGCTGGTCTCTATATATACTTGCTTAGGTGTTTTAAATATAATATACTAATTGAGAGGCAATAGATATAAAATATTCCTGAAGTCCCTAAACTGTGAACATTAAACTGCTTATTATGTATTGTACTTAGATGTGTAAACTTAAGTATTTGTAAAATTCTTTATTAAAAAAATATTGGGGGCTGGGGATGTGGCTCAAGCAGTAGCGCGCTCGCCTGGCCTGGGTTCAATCCTTAGCACCACATATAAACAAAGATGTTGTGTCCGCTAAAAACTAACAAATAAATATTAAAATTCTCTCTCTCTCATTCTATCTTTAAAAGAAATAAAATTAAATATTAAAAATAAATAAATAAAAAATATTGTACCTAATGTTTATTTCAATGTACATTTTTCTCAGAAGCAATTATTTTACATTTCCCCAAATTTATAATTCAGTTCTTAGAAATCTTTGGTAAAAAATACCATAAACCCAGTCCTTCCAAAGGGCTGTTCCTAAGGACTGGTGTCTTCTGTAAGAGGATAATCATATACTCAACCCTAGGAAGAGAGGTCCACTGAGAAGTCATTTGAGAAAAGTTAGGCTTAAGGATGATCTGACCTGATTCACTTTATCAAATATCAACAGAAACAGAACATGAGATTTTATCTTACAGTTTCCAACAATATAAACTTTCATTTACTTGTAAACAATCCTCTCCACAGTTCAACAGATTACAACAATGCAAGCAAAATAACAAGATGGCCTTTTTCTTCAGCTGCATGTGCTGCCACTCTCCAGGGGACTTGCATGTCCTGCCTATGGCAACAATACAACACACTTTTCCACATTTAACATCTTTTTTTTTTTTTTAAATATTTATTTTCTAGTTTTCGGCGGACACAACATCTTTGTTTGTATGTGGTGCTGAGGATCGAACCTGGGCCGCATGCATGCCAGGCGAGCGCGCTACCGCTTGAGCCACATCCCCAGCCCGCACATTTAACATCTTAACTGTATATTCAACCAAGAATGTCATACACCCTCGGCCAAGAGAAACGCAAAGTCACCTCCTTTGTGGAATTCTGCTCTATTTCACTAATTTCAAATAAACAGTTTGCACTTATTTTCAATTACAACTGCTCCCAAGGTACCTCAATCTAGTACTTATTAAGTGGTATTTTGATTTTCACAGGACTTTCTCCTAATGAACTGATTACACTGACAGCTTAGTCTTCATTTTCTTAATGCCAGGTGTATATATAGTATTTAATCAAATCGAAGATGCCACTGATTGCAAAAAACTATTTTTTTCCCCCTAAAGCTAAGGAAACAAAGAGAACTACCAATTATAGTCACTATGCCATTAATTTTTAAGACTCACCTTGATTTCAGAGACAACTGTGTAAAAATATATATCTTAGGATAAATTAAATATAGCCATAAGTGTTTAATATATTTGCTGAAATACCACTACTTAAACTTACACACTTATTCACAGTTTTTCCATTCTGCCTATCTGTTCAAACTCCCTTTCCCACACACGAATAAAACCCTCTATCGTTGACACAAAGAACTATTCAGAGTTATTAACTCCCTCTAACCTTGGTGCTCTCACTTTTTCTTCACAAATCTATTAGGAAAATAAGTCTGATTCCATATGTGCTGAGCTCATAGATACAAGCAATAGTAAGGCAGAACAGAAATAATAACTTTATTATTTGCTGTCCTTAGAAAGTCTAAATTAAGCCAGAGCAGTGGCACACGCCTGTAATCCCATCAGTTTGTGAGATGAGGCGGGAGGACTACAAGTTCAAAGTCAGCCTCAGCAAATTAGCGAGGCCCCAAGCAACTCAGTGAGACCCTGTCTCTACATAAAATATCAAAAGGGGCTAGGGTTGTGGCTCAGTGGTTAAGCATCCCTGGGTTCAATACCTAGTACAAAAAAAGAAGGAAGGAAAGAAGACTAAGTTAATGCCACAGATGCTACTCATTGCTTTAGGCTGAAAAAGACCACTGAAGTAACATTAAAGATGTGATCCTGGATATTTTACCAGAAAGTAACTGAACCAAATATTCACAACTTGGACAAAGAAAATATGCTCTGACCACATGTATTTTCAGTACATGTAGAGAGTAATGTGAAAAATTTAAGTCAATAAATGATAACTGTTACCTTGATAGAATTTTTAAAGACATTTTTCAATGATATCTTAAATATACAAAACACTCCAACTTACCTTTAAAAACTAAAAGGCAAAAGTTAGTTACCAGCAGATATCTCTTACTGAGCTTCCAGGCTCCCCCTAAACTTCATCTGCCCACTTCTTTTTAGCCTCGCAGGTGCCAGGCAAGCACTCTACTGCTAAGCCACACCCCCAGCACTTGGTGTGCCCACTTCTATAAGGACAGTTTAAATATGGAAGCTTATTACCTAATAAATATGGCTACTCAATGATAAGAACACTCTAGATCAACCTTTTCCAATTAAGAAATGTTTTATTGCAACAAACTAGGGTCAAGTTACATATAACTAAGAATAATATTGTTAAAAGACTATCTGTTGTCTAGGACAGGTGTGTGAGAGCTCTGTGTGAGAGCCCTTAGCTCAATCTCCAGCACAGATGGGGAAAGACACTATCTGTTGTTGCTCTGAAAGCGTATGCAAACTTTTTTCATACAGGTCATATGGTACATTATCTCTAGCATCGTGGGCCACATATGGCCTCTGTGGCATATTTATTTTTGTTTTTTTAAACCACTCTTCAGAAATATCAAAACCATTTTTTAGTTTTCAGGTTGTACAAAAACAGGCCATGGGCTAGATTTGCCCAAAAGTTGAGGTAAAATGATCAAAGGGACTGTTTTAATAACAAAATGGTATAATTTTACTATAATTTGTACATATACTCTAATCCCTTTGTCATACATGTACAATGTGGGAAAACTATATATAATCAGCGTGCTTAGGTCCCCTGACCTATAGTCACCAAACTTTTATTCTTAGGTAGTAAGATCCAAAGATAGCAACAACATGATAATATTCAAAGATAGTAAGTAAGTCTATGAGAAGCAACACTTACATAATGCCAGGAAAGCATGTTTGGAGGCCATAAGCACTAGCACTCTGCGAAGGATGTCTTTGTTGATAATGTAGTTCTTTATGTGGTAGGTATGGTGCTCCACACAGAATGTTAACAATTCCAATACAAGTGCCAACAACTGTGCAGTTTGAAAATCATCTGAAATAAACAAAATACAATTTTACTTATACACACAATCTCATGCCCCAAAGATGTACACATAGCACAGGAGGTTCTGCTAGATACCATCTCATCTTTGGTGTAATCATTTTATCTTGCTCCCAAGATTTCAGTGTGCTTTGTGTTTACTTTAGTACACACAATGAGTCCACACTGAAAGGTAATTATTGGCTTATCTTTATTACCCGCCAAGCAGGAAGCCTCTGAGAACATTTTACTCACTGTTTTCATTCCTCCCGTTTAGTCCCCATAGATATTAGCAAAGTGCCTTCAACATAGGGTTTTAATAAATGCTGGATGAATTGAGAATATGCGTTTGGAAAGAGGTCTCAAGCTTTACCCAATATGAATAAAATAGGAAAAAAAAATTCCCATTTCAAATTTACATGTATTTTTCTCTTAAGTTGTGTGTGTTTTTTTCCCTAAAGGAAAGAAGAGGCTTTTTTTCTTAGATGTTGATGGACCTTTATTTTATTCATTTTTTTATAGGTGGTGCTGAGAATCGAACCCAGTGCCTCACACATGCTAGGCAAGCACACTGCCACTGAGCCACAACCCCAGCCCTCTTGTGTTTTAAAATAAATATAACACTCTGAATTCGATGAAAAAAGTGTTGTTTTCAGAGCTTCAATAAGGAATTTCCCAGTGAAGACCCTAAAACTACTTTTAAATGTGGCATTTTTTTAAAATACATACACATATAAGCTAAAGCCCTGAGAAATAAAAAGTCATATTGAGCAGAAGCATAGCTCTGTCTAGACACCTGGAGGACAAATAACAAACTGTTCGTAACTACTGCCTTCTTTATATTTCACCTCTGCTTATACAAACTAAATATAAACATCACTGAACAAAAATTTATTTTAAAACCTTCTTTTTTTTGTATACTTCTGTTATCTTTTTATTAATAGGATTTTAAAAAACAAATTTCTTAAATAGCTCTTGAAAATATATTATTAGACCTCTATGTTAACCTAATGTTTGAACTTTTAAAGACTATTACTGTTCTTTTGAGGTATGCCTGCTGCCCATGCCTTCATTCCTCTCCCACTACCTCAAAATAAAGACTATTACTTAACACTACTTTTGAGTCTCAGAATTCAAGAAGAGAGAACTTAACAACCAACCTGCATTATCTTACCTTTACTAGGCTTGTCTTCTGTTGTATTTGCTAGTAAGGGAGCAGTGAGAACATGCATACAGTGCTTGTAGAAGAAACCGAGAAATTCAGTCTTTTCTGTTTTCTAAGGAATCAAAAACACTTTCATGAACTTTAACTGCACTGGTTCCCAGCAGCAATAAACAACATGCTAGCTATGAAAGAGGAAAAATGCCCATGGCTTACATTGGCAGTGGCTAGCATGTTCTCTGGGTCAACTAAAGTTCGAAGCAGGCCCATAAGTTGGACTGCTCCTCCAAGTTCAGGATCTGTATCACAAATCATATGTTCTATAATGAGGTTGATGAGCAAAATATCCTGGTGAGAAAAATACACATAAGGATCACTCATTAAACAGAGAATGGGAAAAGCACATATTAAGACACTATAGCATCACTGAGTTCAAGCTATCATGCTAATACAAACAAAATGCAGTAACTGCCTCACTTCTTTACTAGGACATACTGCAGTGCTCCAAAGTGTGGAACAAAGACAAAGTTTCAGTTTGGTGTCAGTAGATCTGTATGCCTCTCTGATAAAATGCAACAAACTCATGGGCTTTACATTAACTTTAATAATGAAAATACTTATTTACTACATTTATTTTAATACAGAGTCCTTCTATTTTTGTTAAATGATATATTTCTTCTCCATTTAGGGAAATTTTTAAAAAGTTTCCCTTTAAAATACATTTAGGAAAATAGGTGGTACCTGAATACCTGAAATTGAGGGAAATGCAATTATAGTAATTACAGTGCACAAAACAACAAATGTATTATTCAGATTCCAAATGTCAAAGAAAATAGACTGCTGCCTTTCCTGAGGCCCAATTATGACTGGTATTCCTGGCCATAGAGTAAATAAAATTGAGAGGGATTCAGTGAGAGAATTCCCTACTTCTGCCTATATGTGTAATTGTAGAGTGAACAAGGACAGAGAAAATGTAGACAAAATATGGAAATGGTGATCAAGAGTGAAAATCAAAAGGGCCCAGGTCTGTAATCCCAGCTATGTGGGGAGCTGATGCAGAGGACTGTAAGGTTTGAGGCTAGCCTGAACATCTTAGTGATACCCTGTCTCAAATAAAGAACAGAGGGCATAAATAAGTGATAAAACACTCCTGGTTTCAATCCAGAGTCCTGAAGAAGAAAAAAGAAAACGGGAGTGAAGTACTAAAGTGTGATTCATCTGGTAGGTTACATGGTCAACAAGAGCAGCTCCATTTTAAGTTATACAGACATATTTGTTCTCAGGACTATTTCATAAAGGAAAAATGAGACTTAACATTCAATAGCTCAAACTGGTATTTTTCTGTAACTACCCTGGTACAATTTTAAAAAAAAAACCTTAAATATAGATGATACTATCCATTTCACTTCATTTTGACACCACACCACATTAAGTAGAATCTTTCCAAACAGTAACAAGGGCTATCTTCTTAAATTATAAGAAACACAACAAGCTAGAATTGTGCAGAGATTTATTTTCTAAGGGGATATCGTCTTCCTCCCTCCCTCAAGAAGAACTAGAGGGCAGACCAGCTTAGTTTATTCTTTTTTTCTGGTCCTGGGGACTGAACCCAAGGTGCTTTACCACTGAGCTACATCTCCAGTCCTTTTATTTTTTAGTTATAGGAGTGCACAATATCTTTATTTTACTTTATGCTGAGGACTGAACCCAGTGCCTCATACATGCTAGGTGAGCGCTCTACTTCTGAGCCACAACAGGCCCCTAGTCCTTTTAATTTTAAAACTGTGTCTCATTAAGCTGCTTAGGGTCCTGCTAAATTGTGAGGCAGGCCTTGAACTTGCAATCCCCCTGCCTCAGCCTCCCAAGTTGTTGGGATTATAGGCGTATGCCACTGCACTTGGTTCGGCTTAGTCTATTCTTAAGTAAAAAGTTATCTATAAAATTTTATGGAGTAAGGAGGCAAACTCAGAAATCACTGGTTATCTGAAAATAAAGAGGAGCACACATATTTACAGCTCCCATATACATGATACATCATAAAATCTGTAAGTGTCCTTCATATTACCAGAATATACTCTCTTAGCTGTTTTATAATTGATGTGTCTATTATAATTTCTCACAAATCCTAAGTTTATGTGTGTGTCTGAACAAGACACAGCTTGTTGTTTATGATTAGGCAATAAACAGTTCCCTAAATACTTTTCAAGGGACTATGTTTTGTCTGTTCTTTTTTTTTTTTTAAACTTTTTTTTTGGGTGCAGATGGACACAACACATTGCATTTATTTTTATGTGGTGCTGAGGATCGAACCTGGGTCCCGCCCGTGCTAGGCGAGCGCTCTACTGCTCAGCCACAATCCCAGCCCTTATCTGTTCTTTCTTAATGATTCTGAGAATCTACTCTAAAAGCCAATGTTTCCTAGGGGAGTTACTCATAATTCTTCCTACAGAAGAATAATTAACTGATTAAATGATTTCAATAAAATAATACAGAAGTTAACTTCAGAGTTAAGAAGAAAAATTAGTGTCAAAAATTTTTAAAGAAACTTCAACTGTGAACATTAACAACTATTGAAAGACAACAAATTTATAAACTAAAATAGGAGCCAATTTAGGGAAAGAATAAAGCCATCTGACATTACAGCTGTACTTCCCCCAAAGAGCAATAACTTAACTCTTAAAAAATGAGTAATAAACACAGCTATAGCCTCCTATGTACAAATACTTACTATGCGCGCAAATAATATTTACCTTGCTGGTTATTTTTTGCTCTGTTAACTTCTTACTTACATCATCATTCTGTTGTGCCTCCTGCATGACAAACTCTCGTACCATGGATGGATTATATTCAACCAAGTATGAGAATATATCAGTAGCAGCACTTCGCACCTGTGTATCATCCATGCCCTACAGAGAAAGAACACTTCTTCTACTAAAATTATAAAAACATGAAACTTACGATTATACGAATGTCTAAAACTGTGAACAAATTATAACAAAACACTGCAATATAAAAAAGGTCTAAAATTCTGTTGAATATAAAACCTCTTATTCTATGGATAAAATAATACCTTCTAACATACTTGCTCCTGTTTGCCTATTTCAATATTTCATCTAATGAAAGAAATTATTACTAAAACTATGGAAAATTCCTTTAATCGAGCTTTCTTTTAGTACAGTGTAAGATTTCAATACTAGAATTCCATTGCTTCTTTATGAAATACACAGCTAATATTAAATACTGGCACATATATAATTGTGTGGGTATGCATGCTCCCCCCACCCTTGCCCCCAATGGGGCTAGAACCCAGGGCCTCATGCATACTAGGCAGGCATCCTATCACTGAGCTTTATCTCCATCCCCTAATACAAGCTATATTAAAATACCTACGTTACATAATATGACTTTCGTGGTTAAAAAAAAATAAGTCATTTAAAACGAAGAGAAACAAACTTACAAGGATGACTTCTAAAGCTGGTAATATGCCCATGTTTGACAAAGTCTTGAAAAAAGCATCTCTGTTTTGAGGTTGTAGCGTTTGAGAAAACGCACAAAATTCTTTTAAAAAGTTAACCTGAAATCAGGATAAACGGTAAATGAACATAAAAATGGTTTGTTGTTCTATTTTATGCCTTTCTTAATATCTAATTTCTTACCAATTCCTGTCTTTTTTCCTCATCTGTTGCTTCATCTGTTAGTTGTGCAAACAAATCTGTCAGAAATTTTTCATCTTCCTGTGAAATATGGGAAAAATTTAATTATATTAGAGGTAAAATTTCACTATGCTGTAATATACATATAAGATACTTCTATTAATAACCGGTACTCGCAATCCTGTTCTATAAAAGGAAGAAAAACCAAACTGTTGGATAAATTGCGAGGTTCTTATCAGAAAGATTATTCTTATATTTTGGCAAGGGTCTTTTTCCTAAATCTATTTAAGGGTCAGAGAATATCTATTTTAGGCTTTGCGAACATTCTCCCCTTTTCCCCCACTGGGGATTATACCCAGGGGCACCTTATCACTGAGTTACATCCCAGCCCCCCGCCAACCTTTTAAAATTTTAAGACAAGGTCTCACTAAGTTATCCAGGCTACTCAGTCTCCTAAGTTTTCACTACATCTATTCAATTCTGTTGTAGCAATGGCAACAGTCAGAATGAGTAAATGAATGAGTACACCTGTGTTCCAATAAAATTTTATTTAAAAAACACAAAGCAAGCATGGCAGTCTGCCAACCCCTCATTTATATAGGCTCTTACTAACTAACCTTAGAAGTTAAGGTTCCACAACCTTTCAAATGGGGAGGAAGATAAAAGCTTTCTTGAAGTTTTACAGATACAGAAGGTGATCCAATATTTAAAAAGTGAAATTCAGAGTTTTAAACAAACATCTATTATTTGAAGATATTCATTGCACACACAAAATATTTTAATATATGTTTAATTACTTTAGAAAAGGACTTAAAGGATACCCACACAGGATATTTATCTAGGTAAATAAGTTAGAGAAGTACAGAACTTATAAAGAACTTCAGATGTTACCTTATGTCCTTATTTTATAATTAAGACAAATATTACCCAAGCCCAATTGATTAATAGGTCAAAGAGTCTCCCTGATTGACTATCAAATTTTCCTCTGCACTATTTTTCATCAAATTTAGAAAAATATATTAATTCTACATAGCTGGAAGTAATGAATTAATACTCCAGGCCCTATATATGACACACACACACACACACACACACAACTTCCCACTACATTATAAGCTTCATATTCACTACTGTAGGTACTCAGGAAACATTTTCTTTTAACACTACACTAGTTGGTTATTCCTTATTTTACTTTTTCTAAAAAAACACAAACAGGTCATACCTCATTACAGGTTTTTTTTTTTTTTTTGGACCATGTTTGTTACAAAATGGCACCCAAATTTCAAAACACACCCCAAATAGTACAAGAATGATTAACTGTACTACAGAGGAAGTAGCCAATTTTAAGATGAGGTATACCAGCATGTGTACACACAAGGACAGCAGGTACCTGCTTTAAATAGTACCTCTAACATGCTCTTGTTCCAGGCTCAGTGGTGCATGCCTGTAATCCCTATGGCTTGGGAGGCTAAGGCAGGAGGATTCCAAGTTCAAAGCCAGCCTCAGCAACTTAGCAAGGCCCTAAGCAACTTACAGAGCCTCTGTCTCTAAAAAGGGGCTCAGGATGTGGCTCAATGACTGAGTGCTCCTGGATTCAATCCCTGGTGTTAATTAAAAAAAGTTCTTGCTTTTGTCTAAGGGTGTAGTTCAGTGGCACAGAGCTTGCCTAGTATGCACTGGGCCCTGTGTTTGGAAATAAAGGCCTCAAATCAAGAAAAACAGAACAGTAGAACAGTAGCATTGGCAGCCAGAATTTCGGAGAGGATACTGCACACTGTAGGGAAGCAAAGCCTTAAGAACTTGAAATTATTTGTACTTAATGATTAAACCGGTATTTTACCCATTGAAGACCAAGAAAACAGAAGTGACAGATCCCTACAACACAAAAATAGAACCATATGGAACCAAAGAGATGAAAAGAACAAGATTATCTGCAGAAATCAGGGGTCAAATTGAATTAGAGAATGTGGTTCTGCTAGCTAGCAAAAGCTGGTTCCTTATCAAAGAACAAATGGAAAATGGTACCAGAAACCTAACTCCAACATTAGCAATGACAATACTCTCCACAGAGGATTGTGGAGAGTATATACCATAATCTTAACAGATTGTACTGCCCACATTATTTGTTTACATATCTGTCTGAAATGAAAATATGTCAAATTGGTCAATATGAAATGAAATTATTTCTAGTTCTAGGAAAACATCTGCAGCTTGAGCACCCCTAATCTGCAAATTTGAAATTCAAAACTTTTTGATGCTGACATGTCAAAAAGTTTTGGACTTTGGAGCATTTCAGATTTTGAATTTTTGGATTAGAAATTTGGATTTGGAGGCCTCAGCCTCTAGAGTAGCTGGGATGACAGGCATTAAGGTCAGCTCCCCTGTAATTTCTTCAAACTAAGGGTGATATAAACCCAGTCTCAGGCATGCTAAGCAAGCAATATACCACTGAGCTACACCCCCACCTCCAAGCCAGACTACTTTATCATTTACCTTCCCTACCCCAAACAAGCACCTCTGATCTGAAGAGTATTATTATTTATCAAAATTTATTGGAGATCATCAAAATACTCACCTTTAGATTTTAACAAAATCAAACTCACTTAGGATTTTAAAGGAAGAATGAATTAATTTTTGCTTAAGGCAAGTAGCAATTTAAGTGGTATTAAAACAGGTACCTTTTTTTAAGTAGGAAGAAAATGATCTAACTTACCTGTAACATACCAACAATTTCTACCTTATTGAAAAAGATAAAGGAGTGAAGTGTTGATAACATGTTTTCTTCAAAGACCGAAGGGGTAGGGAGAACCATATCCTGTATATACTGAACTCTGTATGTCTGATGAATTTTTTGTTTCAGCTCAGGATCTGATATGGGAATCACTTCTTTAAATTTGGCTGTTTTTGTTAGAAATTCCCTGTGTTTACGTGGTTGTGATAAAGCAGGATCATATTCTAAACATCCAATGACGTCCATTATACATTCCTCAGAGAACATGACCTCAAAAAGAGCAGTTCGATTCAAGAGGAAGATGCCTTTGATAATTTCATACAAGTGGTGCAGTCCTTCAATATTTTCCAAATCCTCACATACATGAAAAAGCTCTAAGAGCTTCTTAATATAACCCTCATTTTCCAGTGCTAGTGCAAGTTTTTCACGGCGGAGGGGGGAAGGTAAAGATGATGCCACAAGTTCTGCAATTTCCTCAAGGCGACTTAATTCACAAGACGGTAATTCTAAACCTGGTGATGACATATCATCAAATCGCTCCTCTTCAGATTCATCTACAAGGTCCTGAGTGATGTCCACTGAAGGGTCCTTTCCTTGAACCTATGAAGAAGAATTTGTGTAGCTGACAAAACACACACCAGCAAACCTAAACAATATCCTTCAACAAATACAGAGACATTATAAGAAAACCATAACAATAATTTTCAATTTTTAGAATCTTATTTCAAACTTGACACAACTGCCTGCTTTTTCCAAGTTGCTGTCATGGTTTGAATATGATATATCCCTCTAACCTATCAATGCAGAAATATTCAGAGATGAAATGATTAGATTATGAGAGCTGTGACAGAAGTGGTCAATGGTACAGAAGGAGAGTTCCCTGGAAGGATACATCTCTCTCCTTCTTCTGATTCCCATCCCTCCTCTGATTCCTCTATGCCATGAGGGGAGCAGCTTTCCTCCACCGCACCCTTCCCTCATGATGTGCTACCTCACCTTGGGCCCAGAGTCTGCCAACCATGGGCTGAGACCTTCCTCTAAGTTGTTCTTATTGAGTGTCTGGGCCACAGGAATGAAAATGCTAACTGAAATAGTTACATTTCTCCAAATAACATATACTTTAAATTATTTTCCAAAAAAGACTAGGGAGAGGTCTCAGAAACATTCTTAGTTTGAAGAAATTCAAGTAAATATCAAATATCATACAGAGTGCTGTGATCATAGTACATATATATAACTATAACCAATAAGGAAAACAATGTCCATTCATCTTAGGAAAGGGTCAGAGAGCATAAACAAACTGGCTTTGGACCAAAGTTGGCGAATAATTTCCTACAAAATGTTTGATGGTACCCCAAAGATATAACAAAAGCTCAGTAGGATACAAATGCACCTACACAAAAATGAAGCCACAAATGAAGTAAGCTCAACCTATAAGTAGTAGAGCCATCCCCAAGAATATCTCCTAAAAGTTAAGGAACCAAACTGAAAAAGTTCAACTTTCCACATATCCAAACCTATACCTACTTTTCAACCCCTCAGAATCCTAAAACCTGTCATAAATCCCAACTTTGTGTTACTGCAAAAATTCTAATTATAAAAAAATATAAAAAGTAGGCCTTATATGAAATGTATGGCTAAGAGATAACTGTGGATGGATACTGGAAGGGAAGATAGCCTGAAGTATTTGTCTTGAAATACGTTGCAAGTTAAGGTCCAATATGGTCTGGATCTTAACTCTGTGGGGAACACTACTGCAAGAAGGCCAGATACATTCAAGATTTACACCTGGCACAGTTTCAAGCTGGTACTAGTTTGGTTAATTACATAAGTTCTCATTATAGTTTTATGTTCTAATACCAAAGCTATGGCTTTACTCACAGAAAAATGTTTGTGTACCTGGGAACTGAACCCAGGGGCACTTTGTTGCTGAACTACATCTCCAGCCCTTTTTGAGACAGAGTCTCACTAAATTGCCCAGGCTGGTTTTGAACTTGCAATCCTCCTGCCCCAGCCTCTCCAGTTGCTGGGAATACAGGTTTGTAGCATGTGCCCAGTTGATAGGATTGATTAATAAACCAAACTAAAAGGGACAAGAATAATGAGAAAGCCATCTTTCTGAGTTAAGACCTAGTTACTACTACCCAGGAGGGTAACAGAAAAAGGGAGGATTTTTTTTTTTTTAGCTATTTTGGTATATAAGGGTGATGAATAGGGGTCAAGAAATAAAGAAACATGTAGGTAAAATGTAATGACTTCCCTGGAATGAGCCAGGATCCAGAAAACGGTACAAACAGAATTCATTTTAAAAATGTGACTGAGAGATGGGCACAAAGGCACACATCTGTAATCTCAGTGACTTGACCAGCTGAGGCAGGAGGATATAAATTCAAGGCTGCCTGTGTGACTTCTCAAAATTTAAAAGGGCTGGGGTATAGTTCAGTGGCAGTGTCGCTGGGTTCAATCTCTAGGACCAAATCAAAACCAAAAAACACGAGTAATTGAGAAACGGCACTTTCAAGACAAACTATACGTAAAAGTTAGGGGGAAGACCAGAAAAGAACATAAAATACACAGTGGTTCTTTGGTAAGTTACTGCAGAGAAAGAACACAAGCATTCATCTGTGCTCCCAAATGAAAAAAACTGAGACCATATCTCAAAACAAAAACAAAAAGAACAAGGTAAAGATCAAACAATATTAAAAAAAAAAAAAATCAGGCACAACAGTTACAGAATGAGCCCAGATTTGAATTAAATATTAGCTCACTAGAAAAATGGTTCAATCCCCAGTACCACAAAAAGAGAGAGGGAAAGGAAAAAGAATAAAAGAAAGAAGGCATTTGGATATAAATGTGACACCTTCGCGTTCTAGAGGACAAGGACAGCATCAACAGGCAGGTTTATCTATATTAAAACAACAACAACAAAAACGCAGCTGAGTTCAATATGCAGAAGAAATAAAACTGTACAAGTTAAGAAAAAACTGTGCCTTGAGGACACTGTATTTTCTATTAAAGGTATGGCTCTTAAACTTCAGGGTGCACCAGAATCACCAAAAGCAGGGCTGACAAAACTAGCCAAATCCCATCCATTTGCATGTAATTTATGGCTATTTTTTTTTTTTAACACCAGAGATTAAACCCAGGGGTGCTAAATCACGGAGCTACATCCCTAGCCTGTTTTTTTAAATTTTGAGATAGGGTCTCTCTAAGTTGCTTAGAGTATGTAAAGCTTAAAATATTTACTACCTTGCCCTTTACATTCTGACCTACAGGGTTTAAGACATCATTATAGGACCCTAGCGTCTGATATAGTAGGTCTGGCCTGTGGGCCACAGTTTCTAGGTCTTACTCCTATACTGGTGAAGACCACATTTTTTTTGGAGGGGGTAGGTACTGTGGATTGAACTCAGGAGCACTCAACCACTGAGCCACATCCCCAGCCTTATTTTGTATTTTATTTAGAAACAGGGTCTCATTGAGTTGCTTAGTGCCTTGCCCTTGCTAAGGCTGGCTGTGAACTCTTGATCCTCCTGCCTCAGCCTCCTGAGCTGCTGGGATTACAGGTAGAGCCACCGCGATTGGCGAGAACGGCATTTTTGGAGACTCAATTAAAAAAATCTATTGAAGATTATTCTCCAAATGAAATAAGCATGGAAATAGAGAAAACCTCTCTAGGAGGAAATGGCCAAATGAGTCTGTAACAAGAACCAATACATTGAGTCACTTGAGCACTTTAGAAAAAAGAAAAACAAAGAAAAAACCCAAAAACATATTTATAATGATTGTGGAGATTATGTCAAGAGAATGAGGTACCAGAGTAGGGAAAGATAAAGATCAGAAAATATTAAAAAAGAATCAGACACAACAGTTACAGAGTGAGCCCAGGTTTGAATTAAATTATGAATCAATTACAAACATTTGCACTTAGAGCAAAGTGAGGGTGACTAGATAGTCAACGGTCATAGAGCTCAAGACCAGTGCAAGGGTGGGCTCGACTTCAAGAGCCACAAGAACAAAGCCTGTCACAATCGCTTGTTTTATTTTTTAGAAAAGATAATTCTAGCTGTGAAACTATCAGTCAAGATGAAACAAATAAACCAGGGAAGAAATGATGGACACGTGAGAGTGCACAAAATGAAGACAAGTGAATGGACCCAAGGTTGACTACCAAGAACAGAATAGACGTTAGGGCTAAGAGAAGAATGAGCAGGCCCCATGAGTCTGTTTCTGAAACTAGATGGCATTTACTGAGAGGAGGGGACAGGAGGATAAGTGGATCTAGGTGAGAAGATTGTGCTTGATTTTGGATTGTCAAGTTGGAGATGCTAGTGAACACTCAAAGGGGAGTTCTTCGAGAAGGCAGTAAAATATAAAACTTGAATTTAGCAAAAGTCTGATCAGGGTAGTGTGGTATGGATAAATTACACCTTCTTTAAACCAAGCTTTTCATAGAGATTTAAAAGATCTATCTGAAATTTATTTAAAATTTAGGGTTTTAGCTGAAAGCATTGCAAAAAAACAAAAAAAAAAAACAAAAAAAAAAACCTTTCAAGAGAGCATATTGATTTTCTATTTTTAAAATTACCTGACATATTTTCTCCCAAATTTCATCACATCCAGCTTTTTCTTGAAAGCTAAGGGCCAAGTCATAATTTTCTGCTTCAGACCACACAATCAGAGTGTCCTTTGGATTAGGGGGGAAAAAAAAGAGTCTGAATGATTAACATACATTACTGCAACTGTTTCAAAGTATAAGGCAAATGAACAAAGCAACAGGAATTCAGAACATCACTCATTTTTATTTTTTGCAACACTGTATTATCAATGTCTTTTTATGCTTAATTTTTACCAAATATGAAAAACAAATGTTTACCTAAGGACAAAGCTTGACCTATATATGAATTTAATGTTCTAAAACATACCAAGAAAACACTACACCAATCTTGTCCTTGCACATCAAGTCACATTTTATGCTCTCATTAAAATGGCCAAAGAGTAAGTCTGAGCATACAATTACTAGAGGCATGTTAGAAGGCTGGGATTAAAACAAAACAACTTGTCTTTTCCCTCAACAGGTGTTCTTTACAAGCTGGGGCATGTGAGGTTCCTGAAGGCCTTGAAATTACTGGCCTACATTTGTAATATGTGATGTGATCATTTATTTGAACAGTTAAACAGTTAAAATTTCACAAAAGTTATATGGTTCATGAAGCAGCATACTCATAGCACCTACCACCTTTTCACTTCTATTCAGGGAGAACTTTATTTTGAGACAGGGTTTTGCTATAGACATCTAAGCTCAAGTAATCCTACTGCCTCAGCATCCTAAGTAGTTGGCACTACAACTACAGACACATGCCACTATGACCAGCTGAGAAATTTTTTTAATAGGAAATTTAACAAACAATTCAAGAGGTTTAAGATACAATCTCAGCAAGACACTGCATGTACAATAAATGAGACCATCTTATAATCCCCACAGTCCAAAAAGATCTGTATTAAAAAATTATCGAGTTTAAGATACTCTTTCAAATTTATTGGTAGTAAATAAACATATTAGCAATCACCATTGTTAAAAAGGGTCATTTCATGGAGAAAGGTTTATGAATCATCTTTTTAAAGAAACACTGAATAGTGCTTAGGAGAGTCACTTCAAAATAAAGAAGCCCGAAAAGATATGTAATAGGTATCTTCAAGTTCTGGAGGGACTGTCACTAACTTTAGTTTTTCACGTTAGTTTTTTCTCTTTTTTTCCAAAGAGAAGAATGTGAGTCCCAGTTAGAGGTAACTGAGTACAATATAAAGAAAAATATTAAATATAACTGTATACAACTTCTCTGTTATAACTTATATATTCAGAATCATTTAAGACTGATGCTTAAATCAGGGTGTAGACAGACACATGTTGTATGTTCATAATTACACTTGACAAATTTAGTAGGTTTTAACAACTAAGAAATAGTTCTGAGCTGGGCATGGTGGCACAAGCCTATAAACCCAGCAGCAACTCAGGAGAGGCTGAGGCCCAAACAACTTAGAAAGACCCTGTCTCAAAATAAAAAAGGCTGTGGATGTGGCTGAGTGATTAAGCACCTCTGGGTCTAATACCAAAAAATAAAAATTAAAAGTTCTTCTGTTTCCTTGAACAGCTGAATGTTCAAATCATTTTATTTATCAAATAACACTCTTCTCAAGAGGTTATATCTTTCCTACTTTGTGTAAGATGTATTTTTACTCTTAAACTGATAAAAACCTCCGAACCATGAATTTAATTATGAAATATTAAAGTCCAATATTCCAGCCTTCAGTTATTCAATCAAACCTAAAAATTTTCTTAAGGTCAACAAAATGTTAATAGATCAAGCTATCAAGAAGATATTTTATATTATACCAATGTTTTCTGGAGAAATAAAGCACCTCTCAATAAACTTTATTACTGGTTTTCCTATCTACTATCTTGGAATCTAGCAAGTAACAATCTTTAGGCTCATCCAATGAACAAAATACAACTAAATTCCTTCTAGTAGTATTTTAATGGTCACTTTAAAGTGAAGCAAACATTCTACTTATGAACAGGCTGTTAATACTCTTTCTTCTAAAGTAATTATTGTTATTACTACTGAGGATTTAACCCAGGGGCACTTTACCATTGAGATACATCCCCAGTCCTTTTCATTTTGAGACAGAAACCTCACTAAATTGCTAAGGGCCTTCTCGCCTGAGATCCTCTTTGTCTCAGCCTACCAAGTCGCTAAGATAGGATTATAGGCATGCACCGCTGGTGCCCCAGCTTAAAGTAATTATTTTCTCTCTGCATCTTCAAGGCAGCAAAGGAACAGTTTGATTTCACTGGTTTTGTAAAAGTATGTGTGTATGCAGAATAAACACCATTTGATAACAGTGCTAGTAAGTGCTAAGTGAAAATTTATTTTCAGACATTTCTGGCACCTTAGAAGGGCATAAAGGTATACTCAATAGAAGTTACAGTCAAAAATTGTATCAGCACTCTAAGGCCTCTCTGAGGCTATCTACACAGCGTTGCTCTATAGGGAGATACTTCTGTCCATCTGCACTAGTATCTACAACATAAGAAGGAATCTCCACCATTTAGTTGTTAGTAGTAGATGGTTTGTCAAATCAGGGGTCACTTTTTTCTTCATGTAAAAACAAGGAAATGGTTACTTTACTTTTAAAAGATTCAGTTGCTAGAATATCAGGAACATGAACTCATCTTGAGACAAGCTTTAAAAAAAAATTTTTAAATTAAGTATGGCTGAAGGTATAGCTCAGTGGTAGAGCATGTGCTTAGCCTAGAGAGGCCCTGGGTTCAATCTCCAGCATTGAAAAATAAATTGCTTTAAACACTATAGAAATTGGCTGAAACTTTATAATTAGATTGGCAAATGTGCTGTAATCTGTTCTGAATTTCTTATTGTAAGAAAACAGATGGTAAATTTCTATTTAACCACCAAACTGAGAGGATAATATACAAGATAAAACACAACATCTTCAAATTTTTACCTGTTGTTTCTGGTATGCAGTATTAGGATTTATTTTGGACTCTAAAAGCAGAGAACCTATGAAAAAGAAAAAAAAAACAAACAACAAACAAAACAAAGACATTCCATTATGTTATTGCAAAACATCAAAATTATATTCCCTTATATACATTTCTTTTTTGAACATCAGATGCAACTCACACATAACTTCAGTTAAAGAAAAAATTCAAGCAATATAAATGTAAACATAATAATCTGTAATTTAAGAAATGTATTTTATACATGCTTACTTTTTTTTGTTTTGCAGTGCTGGGATTGAGTCCAGGGCCTTGTGCATGGCAGGCAGGTGTTCCACCACTGAACTACACTCCCAGCTCCTATATACTTACTTTTCTTTCTTTCTTTCTTTCTTTTTTTTGGTGGTGCTGGGGATTTAACCCAGGGTGTTGTGCATGCGAGGCAAGCACTCTACCAACTGAGCTATATCCCCACCTTTATATGCTTACTTTTAACAAAACAGATATGACAATCTGAACAGCAAATTGGATGGTAATAAAAAAAATCTAACAATTTATAGGCAGCACAAGGTGGAGAAAACCGCACAAAACCAGATGATCTAGGCTTATTTTTGAAATTGTTATTCCAACAATTGTACACATTTACGGGGCACAGTAGAATTCCATATGTTATAATGTATAATGATCAAATCAGGCAGTTAGCATTTCTAAGTTTTTTGATTAGTAACTAATAATTAACATTTATATCTCCTTATCATTGCTTTATGTCTGGAGCCTTTGAGCTCTTTTCAGTTGCTCTTGGTGTTAAGTCTGATATACTGTGTGATTGCAAAATATGAAATAAGTTGTAACAGCAATCAGATCCACGACTTCAGACTAAGAATGAAATAAGAAATAATTTGCAAAATTTGATAACATAAAGCATAAGTCACTACCCAAATGCACATCCAAATTATATATCACCTTAGAAAGTCTCATACTTGGGAGATAGTAGAGGACAGGAAAGGTAGCAGAATACAACAGTTACTAATAGGGCATTATGTAAAAATGTAGATGTGTAACCGACGTGATTCTGCAATCTGTATTTGGGGTAAAATTGGGAGTTCAAAACCCACCTGAATCAAATGTATGAAATATGATATGTCAAGAGCTTTGTAATGTTTTGAACAACCAATTAAAAAAAAAAAAAAAAGAAAGTCTCATCCTTCTTTCATTTTTAAAAACATTTTAAAAATTGTAATGCATTCTGTTGTCATATATAACAAATTAAAATAAAAGATAAAAAAAGGGAAAAAAAAGCTTTTTTTTTTAGTTGTTGATGGACCTTAATTTTTATTATTTATATATATGTTGTGCTGAGAATTGAATGCAGTGCCTCACCCATGCCAGGTAAGCACTCCACTACTGAGCCACAACTCCAGCCCTTTCATTTTTATTCTTTCTTTCCTCATGGGGGAGGGGGCGCACAGGGGAGATACAGGGCCTTGCTATGTTGTTCAGACTGGTCTGGAACTCATGGGCTCAAACATGAGTTCCTGCCTCATTCTCCCAAATAGCTGGGAATACAGCTATGTGCCACCATATCTGAATAATATTACTATTTCTTTTTAATGGTACTGAGGATCAAACCCAGGGATGTTCTGCCACTGTGCTATATCCCCAGTCCTTTTTATTTTGAGACAGGGTCTCACTAAGTTGCTGAGACTGGGCGGGAACTTGCAATCCTCCTGCCTCAGTGTCCCAAGTAGTTGGGATTACAGATGTGCACCACTGAACCTGGCTCAGTATTTCTTTTTCTTAACAGAACTACCCAAAACAAAACAACGAAAAAGAAACAATAGCAAGGAACTGCTATTCTTCTCCATCTTCAAATAATCAATTTATTCCTTACAGTAAATTTAACCCATACATTTCTGTTTTCACCCCGACAGTGGAAGACTCATAATATCTAGAAAATAACTACTGCTTTATGAGAAAAGGCAAATTTTGACACTTGAATCATACCCACCTTTTCATCAACCAGTTCTAGTTTATTCCAGAACATCAAACCTAAAGACAAGTTCTGGCCCAAAATGCTTAAGCAGCAACAGTTTTCTCTGCAGCTGTCTCTCATACAGTGCTTTTGTTTTTTCTCATGTTACACTTAACAGTTGCTTTACCCATTCCAAAGAGTGGCTATATAATTGAGAAGAATCAGTTGCCTTAACATTTCCAAACTTGCCTTCCAGCTAAAACTAATTTATTAATTTTATGATGCTGCCGAATATTAGTGATTTACTACTATTTACTATTTGCTAAAAACAGTGCTGTTAGATACTAAGTACAGTAAAATACCAGCATGTATCAAATTGTGATGATTCAATTTGAGTGTGCTGTGCACAGAAACAGTTTCCCACTTCCCACAATTTCTCCCACCAACTCTGACACAGGTGACCCAATTAACCCAAAATCTGTATTATCCTGTCTGTACTTAAAATAACTGAATGTTTTAAGTAATCCCCCCCTACACACACACACTGGTACCCTCAGAGCTCCACTTACTTAGGTTCTTTATTCTTTCTTCTTCTCCCCCTTTCCCACAACTATTTTTGGCAGGAATTTCCACATTTAAGGAAAAACTGTTTTAATCTTCCCTTTTCCATTTGGGGGAGGGTACAGGGATTGAAATCAGGGGTACCTCACTACTGAGCCACATCCCCAGCCCTATTTTGTATTTTATTTAGAGACATGGTTTCACTGAGTTGCTTAGTGCCTCGCCTTTGCTGAGGATGGCTTTGAAACCCTCCTGCCTCAGCCTCCCCCCAAGATGCTGAGGTTATAAGTCTGCTCCATGGCACCTGGCTCCCTTTTCTAAATTTTGCTAGATTAATTAAAGCAAAACTTCCACTGCTTTTTCAACTCTCTTTATATACAATTACCAGATTTTTAGCTTTGTGATTATGAAGAACTGTATGATACATTCATAACATGAAAAAGCTGCTGGTAAATTAACAGAATGTATAGAGGCTGAGGGTTTTATTTACTCAGTGGTAAATAAAACATACATTTATTAGCCTATAAGAGGCCCTAGGTTCAATCTCCAGCACCATACACACAAAAAACAAAATACAAAACTAAAAGCCTTCCACTATCTTTGTGAAGTGCTGTTTGAACTATTAAAACAAAAACTTATTCTACTGTTATCTATTATCATCAACCATAGCCACGTGTGTAACTTCAGCTACCTGGTAGGCTGAGGGAAGACTGACAGTTCAACCCAGCTGGGTAACTCAGCAAGACCTTATCTATAAATAAATAAATAAATAAATAAGACTGGGTTCAATCCCTAACACCCCAAACAATCAAACTAACAAACAAAAATTATACCAGAGACTTGCAGATCAAACTTAAACTTTTCAAAGATAGTCAGAGAATACACGTAATTATACTTTAAACACAACTTTCTTAAAAAACATATTCCAGTAAAACCTATTCTGAAATATAACTCAATCCTCAAAAACAATCCATCTGTAGAAAACCACATAAGTAAAAATACAGTGAATAAAAGAACTAGGTTATTTGGTAAATTTTATTTTAGAAGACATAAGAGGCCTAGTGGCATAGACTCAAACTGAATATCCTCTTTTTAAGTATAAAAACTACACAAAAATTCACTTATCGAAAATAAAAATTTGGATCTCCTTTGAAAAATGATGTAAACTGTACATCATTCAAATTTAGAACTTGTAATAGTTGACACTGCAAACAATGTCATCAAGAGAATGGGAAAAAATATTTGCAAATCATACTGATAAAGCACTCACATCCAGAATATCTATGAATTCTTCCAACTCAATAATAAAGACAACACAATTAAAAAGTGGGCAATGCACTTGATAGACATTTCTCCAAAAAAGATATATAGAAAATAAAAAAAGCATAGGAAGATGATCAATAGCACAATCATTAGGAAAATACAAATCAAAACCATAAATGAGGTACTATTTCATCCTCACTAGTACTCTATAATGGAAGAGGGACAATAACAAGTGTTGGCAACAATGTAGAGAAATTACAACCCCATACTTGTTAAAAGATAAAATGAACCAATTAGGTAGCTACTCAAAAAGTTAAGTAAGGGGGGTTGGGGGTACAGCTCAGTGGTAGAGCATATGTTCAGAATGCTAGATCATGCGACCATAACCCTCGGTTCAAATCCCTAACACTCCTTCCCTACCAAAAAAAAACGTTTATCAGTTATTCAGCAACTCCACTCCTAGTTATACAACAAAGAACATGCCTACACAAAAGCATACAATGTATATATATATATATATCAGGATTTTTCATAACAGTAAATAATGGAAGCAATCCAAATATCCATCAACTGATGATGAATGGAAAAATAAAATGTGGTATGTCCACCCAATGAAATAGTATATACAAAGTATATGAAATTCTGACACATTACATGAACCTTGAAAACATGCTAACTGAAAGAAACCAGTCACAAAAGACCACATATTCTATGAATGCGTTTATATGAAATGTCCAGAATAGGTAAAATCATACAGATTAGAAGAGACATTAGTGGTTGTTGAGGGCTAAAGGGAAATGGAAATGGATAGTGATAGCAAATGGGAACGTGATTTCTTCTGGAGGGGATAAAATGCCCTAAAATTAGATTATAGTGATGCATACAAGCTAGTGGATATACAAAAACAACAAAAAAGAACCATATATTTTGAATGTTTAAATTATTAAGTACATAAAAACTGCTTTAGGGGCTGGGATTGTGGCTCAGTGGTAGAGTGCTCGCCTTAGCACGGGCGGGACCCGGGTTCGATCCTAAGCACCACATAAAAATAAAGGCATTGTGTTGTGTCCATCTACACCTAGTTTAAAAAAAAAAAAAAAACTGCTTTAAGCAGGCTTCTAGAATGCTGGTTATGTTCTGTTACGTGCTGGTTATTTTGTGAAAGTTCATCATTTCAAACACATAATTTGCAAATCTTTTGGCAAAACCTTTTTGATATATTGTACTTTTAAAACTTTTAAGGTTTAAGACAAGAGGTCAACAAC